AAACGTATTTCCTGAACTATTAATTTCTTTTATACACAGACGTACCGTAATCAGCAAACCTACTAGTTTAAGAACATTCTATTTCATGTTCAGTTTCTACCATAAGTTCGGCCACTTCTGACCGTTGGATCCAGCTACCTTTGCAAGCATTTTTGTGTTCTCCCAATCTTTATCGAATAGGCCGGCATGTATCACCAACATAACATCGACCACATGAACAAAGAATCTTGTAGCAACCGGATCTCGATAATGGGTCATATTTCTCTCTGAAAGATGGCATAAGAGAAGAATGTTTTTATGCCCCACTTCTTCACTAATTCGCCTATCTTTTTTGAGAGAAAACATGACGGCAAAATTAGGACATGGGAAAAGGTCTCAGTCTGTCTCTCTTTGACTAAATGTTCTCCGTATGAAAATTTATTCCTCAGTAGAGAGATATTATTCTCAATAAGGCCCAGAGGATAATTATTTTCCAGGAATATATTTATCAGCTGTTCCAACTATTTAGTCAAATTTTTGCTATCCGCTAGTTTCATACTTTTAAGAATCATTGATTTCAAAATTCCAACCTTAGTCTGGTAACTATGGTTGGAAAGAGAATTAAGCAGAGCTTCCTATAAACATCTCTTCCTTATTTACCCTCTTCTCAAATGATAAGAACATCCAGAAAAGGTAAGGACTTATTCTCTTCCATTTCCATCGTGAACCTAAATTTCCTTTCACGTTGTTTGAGTGAAAGTAAGAAACTATCTAAACAGTTCTTACCATGAGGTCAGATGACAAAATGGTCATCCATGTATCGAACCCACAATTTGGGTGTTAGTATTGCCTCTTGCAGAAAGTGTTCCTAAGATGGGAGACAGGCAAGATCTCATCGCTAATCTTTGTGATTGTTCGTATAACTTACCATCAAAGGTAAGCTATATGGTACTCATGGATAGGTTGATAAGTCTAATAATGGAAGCTACACTCAGCCTTATTCTTTGTGTTATCTCTGGATGTTTCTCTAGAGTTTGTATCACTGCTTGAATAGCTCCTTGCACAAGAATGTCTGTTTACATAGACGCAACATCTGAAATTGTCTGCTGATCTAGCAATTTCCCAAAATCATATATAAGAGGTAAGATAGAGCCGCATAGTCTTCTTGCTCTAGTGTTAACGTGAGACTTTTACAGGAATGATGTCCTTCGAAAGATGGACGAAAGCTTAGCCCGTTTTCACCCGAAACCAGGGAGGAGGTGTTGTAGACTGCGTCCGTCTGAACGTCGTATAAACGCCAAACGCCGCGCCCTTCTGGTGAGATCGACCAACGAATCTCTTCTTCAATGCACTTTCATACGAAATGTAAATAACCCAACATCAAAATTACACTTCTCTTCAAAGTTGACTTGAATGAAGAATATTTTCATTTTCTACCCATATCTGAGAACTATGATTATTTCATTTTGCTGTAGCGTTTGTTTGCTTTTTCAAAACTCGTTTTGCACAGCCAATCCTGGCCTACCTATAGTCGCACTAAACCCTCCCGCGGGATGGCCTCACTACCTCCAATTTGTCGTTTTCTTCACTGCCTGTACTGGTGCTCGCGTGTGGACCTGTATATTGGCTATGGTGCTCTACCTGCAACGGGCACGCAGCCTCTGTTTTGTACTACGCCACCAACACTTTATCTATCTGTTCGGCACCACGTAAGCAATGCATTTATCATTTGTTTACATTAATTACCAACTTTGTTAAAACACGAGAGAATATTTTTTGACAATAACGACGGAAAAACCTCGCCATGAAAGTGGGTTGACCTCGTTGTCGAAACTTGGTTTTCTATTCAGGGAGACTATGTAGAACACACCGAGTCCGAAGTCGTCGGCCATAGTAGTTGTCATGATTCCCAGCATCAAACGTTTTGCCGGCATCATAGTCGGCATCATCAGTAAGTTTTGCCATTCGCCGCACCAAGCTACGAACTCGTCAAAGAGACAAGAGTTCGTAGCTTGGTGCGGCGAATGTTGCCGACTACGATGCCGGCGAAACGTTTGAGAATGTATCAAGTCCACTGTCGGATGCTTGGAATCAAGACAACTACTATGGCAGACGACT